CAATCAGGACTAGAGGAGTGATTCAGCCACCGCGCTGGCTTCTTGTCATCGAATGATTCGCCTGCAAAGCCGGACCCATCCAAATGTTTTTCGAACACACCTGGTGGAATTTGGAAGGTGGCACCCAGGTAATCAATCAATGAAGGATTTAGATCTTCCACAAATATCATTCTGAGATGAAACCGAGCTGGAGTACGCCTCAACGTATTCCGGAAGTCCTCATATGTCGGTGCCGAACGCGAGTGTGCATCAGGCCAGAGAGCTTGGAGAGTAGAGGCACTAGGCTGCTGTGTCTCAAGTATGTCATATAACATGATGTGTGAACTCCAAATGTGCCGTGTAGTTACGGCACTAGCATGATGTAGATTCGAAAAGCGGTTGGCCGACGTGAGCAGACCCATGCGATAGATCTCTGCCTCATTGCTGTTCGTCGCCTGTTGCACCTCCTGTTGTTGCTGCTTTGGTTTTTTTCGGAGTTTCCCGCTTGACTCCAATGCTATTAAGACTGCTTTCCAGAGCTTGCTCAGCTCTGGTCGTCGCGGTGCATCGCCTTCGGGTCGCTGCCTGATTGGTTCACGCTCTGGTGAACGCGATTGCGGTGATCGATCCCTCGCGTTTCTGTACTTCACTTTCAGAGATTCTTCTCTTTTTATCGCTTCTTCTTCGGAGACTGCATCTGCTCGGAACTTTGCTCTCCCACGTTCGCGCATCCCCCCAGAAAAAGCTGCCCGTTCCGGTCGCACTATTGATTGTTCCACGGACTTGGGTTCGCTAGTCCGACATAGATCTCGGATGGACGGCTGATCTATTGAAGAGGAACGAGATGAGGGTAGAGCGATTGCGCTTGCGCTGGTCGTCCGGCACTCTGACGGTAATCGTCTGGGGTGGCGGGTCTGTAGATCATCTAGTGATGTGCGGGGTCTTGCCTGTTGTTGAAGGATGAGAGATGGTGTGGAACTCGTCAAGATCATACCGCGGTAATCTGCACTTGGAGTTCTAGAGTGTCCAGAACTGCAATCATCAATCGATCCGTCCTTGGTCTTGCAGTCTGCCCGTGGGTGAGCGTCATTTTGGCCATTGTCCTGCTGCAAATCCTCAAATGCTGGCCCATCGTCTCGCGTGTAACCCGGTGAATCTTTGGGACTGTATACACTTTCTTCCGAACTCCTTTCATGACCACATGTTGCTTGTTGGTCGTCCTCCATCTCTGCGCCTACGACCCACGCTCGTGTTCACCGGCAAGGCAACGTTGACCCCTGCAATTTTCTTGTTTGGCGCTCGCTAATGTGTCCAGGGTTTGTGTTCTGCGTTTCCGCGCATCAATGAGAAAGACGTTATATGCCCATTGTTGTATCGTGGTTCGTAGCTGTTAGTTTCAGGTGCGGCTGAAGAAGTGTAGGTCGGCGTTCTGCATGGATGCAGGTTGAGTTTGTGGTTGTATCACTGATGTGAGGCCGGAGGTAAGCCCGGTGACAGTCGGGCTGTCCAGCATCGAGGTAAGCGCCTGGTGGCACAGTCGTGCAGTGTGCGTGCAGCTACATGCATGCGACGTATCACACATACGCCAAAACGTCTGCGGGGCGGCTTAAAAATCAGTCGAGAGCCGCACTTCCCGCAAGGAAATTTACACCACATCAATTGGAACCTGCACATCCGCATATACTGTATGAAAGAAGTAATATCAGCTTGAAAGCCAGATATTCCGTACTCCAGATGCGTGTTGTGAATCAGCTCTAAGCGCGTGATTCTTGAATACCGAGGTAGCGATGGCGAACCTACGCTTCGCAGTGTCTTTTCAAAGTCAGTCAATTCAAAATATAGTTCTATGTCTAAACTGACCCTGTCAACAGGACTAATTCCGTTCTTCGGCTATCATCATATGTTGATGATTCTGCTGACTGTCGTGATTATACTGAATTGTAAGCTACTGATCTGAAGTTCGTGGATTAGTATCATACTTACTGTATCCATAGCAATATCTCTGGCTGGGTGCGCAAGCTATTCGACCATGACAAACATCTACGTCCTCGGTTTATCGTATACGAACTCGACTTCGAAACGCACTACTGAAGGTCATGATGTGTTGCTTGACACATTGAATGGTCTGAAAGGATCCGCCGAGCTTGAAGTCCGAGCGGGCTACTTTGGGATGTGCGTGCGCCAACGTGGTATCGTCTGGCTTTGTAGCTCCGACCATGATGGTCTGGCGCAGCAAATTGGGTACGAAAATGACCCGCTGAACTTGATAGGAGCTGCTGCAAAGTTCAAGAACGAAGTTCTCTTCTCTGGTCTTCTATTCATTGCTGTAGTCCTCGCATTTGTTACTATATTGCTTCTCGCAACATTTCCGGGGTGGCACGAAGAGCGAGATGAAAGAACTGGGTCTGACGTAGATGTAAGACCCTTTCCGTCGCGTCCCGTCTCACAAGTTGCGCTCGCAGCGAGTTTTGTTGCTGCAGCGCAGCTACTTATCGCGAGTTTGTGGCAGCATGTGGGATCTGTCGGTGCAGCTGCAATGGCAGAGTCAGCCAACTACGGGAATATCCGAACGGATATCGGAGTCAGCGCAATCACTATGGTCTGGGTTGCCTTTACGTTACAGATTACTGTCGCTATAGGTCTACTCGTTATGGTTCTTTCCATTGTCATATTAGATAGATTGACCGATAACGATTCGGATTAACGTTGCGCGCCAGGAACGTAGGAGAACAGGAGTAATGGTGACGAGAGTTCACGGTAGATGACCACGGGCCTCCTCAGATTCATGTGAAGCGAGATGACGTATGGGGGAAATAGATCCAATTGGAAGCAGGCCCGTGCTCAGTGCGCGCTCTCTGAGGCTACCTAGGTATTTCGAGGCCTCATCTTGACTGGATGCACCCACATTGTCGTATCTTCACCGGGAATCAGGATACGTTAATACTAGCAACGAACGCATGCGGAGATGACCTTAAGAAGCTCTGAGATGCACGTGGATCATTTCGATGACGTACATGGGTAGCTTCCTGGGCTTCTCGGTGGCCAAACTGGTTCCCCACCCCAACAAACAATACCATCGGCGACAACACCGACATTCTCGTCCCACAGCGGATGGATCGCGGATCATCTCCGTGGTAGGGAATATGCAGCGCGAAGATGTGGGCTTCTACCCCGCACATCTGGGGTAAAGCCGCAACTGGTATATCCGGATGCGTTGTTCCGCTATGGGATAACGAAGTAAGATGGATATTCTGAACTATATAACCATTGACCAAAGCTATACGGAAGGTGCAAGAACCTTTGCTCACAATAGACTACCTAGAGTTGCTCCGCTATCGTATACGAGAATATCACCATGGACAAGCCTATAGAACCCGAGAAGCAGGAACAGCTCGAAGATGTCGACATCGACACGGTCAAAAAACATGATGAGACGCTACAAGAGCATGGGGAGATAGACATCTATGACGAAAAGTACAATAAGAAACTCAACCGGCAACTAGACCTACGCGTTCTACCTCTATGTTGCTGGGTATATCTCTTGAATTTTCTTGATAGGGGTATGGTCTTCATCATCTCGTACCGTCTCAGCATCCGAGTCAATCGCTAAAATTGATGACAGGAAACATTGGAAATGCTCGCGTGCTCAACACAGAGACAGGAGACGACATGCTCAGTAATACGGGCCTGACGCCTCACGGCTACGCTCTGACCGTCACTCTCTTCTCCGTCGCGTATGCCGTGTTCGAAGTACCAAGCAATTTCGTCATGAAGCACTACATCCGACCTTCTAGATGGCTCGGCATTCTTCTTTTCGCTTGGGGGGCCTTAACGATTGGGTTTGCGGGTGTACAGAACAGTGCTACGATCATCGCTTTGAGGTTCTTGATCGGAGTCTTCGAAGCCGGTTTCTTTCCTGGTGTGTTACAATGAGACATGGAGGTTGATGAACTTGCGCTGATTACGTATTGTAGGAATTGTCTACTTCATCACAATCTGGTACCGCTATAACGAGCGGGCTGTTCGCATCGCTCTCGTCATCGCGTTCTGCAACCTTGCTGGTGCCTTCGGAGGCGCCATCGCATTTGGAGTCGGCCACATCAACGGAGCGGCAGGTCTTGAAGGATTCCGCTGGCTCTTCATCATCGAAGGAATTATCACCCTACTATCGGCGTTCCTTCTGTGGTTCTTCCTGCCCGACTACCCAGCTAGAGCGAAGTGGCTTAGCAACGCCGAAAAGAAATTCGCTATTGATCGTCTGGCTGACCGAGGCGGTGGATATAATCAGGAACATGCTAGCAAGAGAGAGACTTTGGACACCTGCTTCAGTCCACGCATGCTGCTACACTACATTGCGTATGTAGCCGACGTCGTTCCTCAGGGGTCATTCACGTTCTTTACGCCCACTATCGTTACCGGACTAGGCTACGAGTCCATTCATGCACAACTTTTGACTGTCCCACCATGGGTCGTGGGCTTCTTCGTAGCCATCACAATCTCTTACTCTGCGGACCACTTCAACGCTCGTGGGTGGCACATCACCATCACATCACTCATAGGAGGTACTGGCTGGCTGACCGCTGGCCTTCTTCCCGCCGACGCCTATGTTCAGCGCTACGGCTGCCTATGTATGGCCGCTGCAGGTGCCTTCCCTGCAGCACCTTCCATGACGAATTGGGTAACTTGCAACTCGCCGAGCTTCCTCACCTTGCCACTCGCAATCGCGCTGCACAACAGCTGCGCAGGTATTGGTCAGATCATTGCGCAATGGATTTGGATGAACGACGAGCGAAGTCAAGGCTTCCCGACAGGCAACTTCGTGTGTGCTGCATGTAGTTTCCTGGTGGCGGCAATCGCTACGACACTCAGGCTGTGGTATGGGAGGATGAACAAGCTTGAGAGGTCAGACAGTAGGGGCGATCAGAGGGTTTGGGCATTGTAGCGATATTAATTGGGTAGTATAACCCCTAATGCAAATGTCGCACTATGATATTAACAACAATTGACCGTCTATGTCCCTATTACTGTTTTACCAACCATCGTTTCAAGGCTTTTGTCATGACTTTATGCGTTCGGCTCGTCAGGTGCCCTGAATTGTACCAAAAGTACGTATCCAAGTCCGTGCATCCATATTGGCTTGGATTTGTCAGGATATCTGGCTGATTATATCCAGGGCAGTAGTCGGTGACGTTTTTGAACCCGTAGTCTTGGTAATGATCCAAAACGTAGTTCAAAACACTGTTCACGTCGAACTGAAGCACCTTCACGTCCTTATGATCGGACTGAAAGTCGTTGGCATGTGCAGCGTGAATCTTGTTGAAAGAAGCAACGAGCGACGCGTTGACATTGGGCGTGCCTGGCCCACGATCCAGAGGCGGTAGATTCATGAAGAGGAAGTTCTTGTAGCCAAGTTCATAGATCTTCTTTACATTCTCAAAGACTCGGTCCTGAATCTTCTCGTAGAGTGGTGCAAAAGAAGCGTTTTTGCCTTGGGTTGAGACAAGGTCATTGATGTCGTTGATGCCGATCCATATCGCTACGAGGGCTTTTTCCTTGTTGAGATGAATTGATTCGAGGGCTGGATTGCCGTAGGAGGCAAACTGTTCGATCTGACGCTCGAGTGAGACAGTATGGTTGTGATGAAGGGGTGTGAATCCAGCTTCCTCGATAGTGTTCGCGCCTGCGTATGCAAAGTCCCAGAGCTGCATATTGCACTCTCTTGGATTGTGCAAACCATCCTCGACACCACACCCAGTCAAAAGCTCCACCCAATTAGGGCCACCTTCTGCCGTTCCCGTAAGGTTCTGCACGATGCGATTCGAAAAGAGCTGTGCGGGCGTAAAAGAGAAGTTGAATTCATCGCCAATGGAGGTGTAGTTTTGGTGGCCGAGAGTACCCTGCACGTACGTGTAGCTATCCCCAAAGGCTATCAGAGATTCTGTGGAATGCCATTTAAAGGAACTTTGTTTCTGCTTCGAATGCGCGGGGGCAGCAATTGCATGCACAAAGAGTGTCAGGAAGACGCTTGAACTTGCGGTGAGCTTCATATCGGCAAAGCGGAAATCGTTTTCGAAGGCTTGATGATCCTCATAATGATCTCTAACAAGCTTGGCTACTATTTATATCGGTGTAGTCGGTATAGATGGATCTTCGGCAGCGTGGGTTTAACGGAACAATTACCCCCGACTGGTGGCGCTGCGGGAAATCTGGAGCTGGACTTTTCCGGGGTAGATGGACGATGATGCGGGGTATCCCAGTTACCCCGAGCCTCGTTCAGGCGTAGCATCGAGTAAGGACCACAAAGCAGCTTCCGAGTTTGCAGGCTCGTCCTTGGAGGAAATACAGTCGTGGTAATGTCGTACGCCTTTGTACTCGTACCACCATCGACCCGGATAATGACGCGTTGGATCTGCTTTTACAAAGCCCATATCTTGCAAAGTCCATATTGGGTCAACTTTGTTTTCTTTTTGTCCACAAGCAAGTAGACCAGTGACGAAAGGCTGCAACGATACAACATGAGCCAACGGGACACCCATTCTCAACGGTAAGTCCTGCCACCACCAATTCGAGGCGTCCATGCAGAAAAATGGACCAAGGATTCTGATGGCATCAAGGTAGACGTCTTCCTTGGTGTTCGAATAATCCACGATAGGCCGTAGCGTTTCAGAGATGAGGCCGAGCATACCGTATAGCTTGTCTCGAGGGTCTTCGCAGCCCATGCTAGAAAATTGACGTAGTAGATTGCACAGTAGATGCGAATACCCAGGTCGAACAGGCTCCGCGTGTGCATAACGATTAGAAAGTAAATACGTCATTGGCGACAGAGTTGGATGTTTCAGAAATCCAGCAAACAATGCGGCCTTGAAGAGGACATCCCAGTCGATCCAGACGTGACCGCACATGATATGTGCCTTTTTGGGTAACATTACTTCCTGCACGATCCATAGACGCGTGAAGTAACGGTTTCTCAAGATAGCCTCAGTGTTCTCGGCATTCCTGTTTTTGGAATACCTCCGCGCTGCTCTTAACGAAGACAGGTCTAACCAAACGATGACATAGATGCATTCGGAGTAAATCCGAGCCATTAGGCGAACTTGATGATTGCGTTCTGCCGTGTCCTGTTGGTTGATACATATCTGAGTGATGAGATTAGTCCATGCATGCATAGCCAAGTAGATGTAGGACCTACCTGATCGATCCAGAGGTACTGGGTATTGGCTTCGTCTGAGCGAAAGGCGGAAAGGAAATCGAACAAGTTTATTCTAACAGCGAGCAGCTTGTTATCGATAACGATATACCTATTATCTGATGGTCCACCCCAAGTGTATGACAGAGCGATGAACTCGGGTGCAGTGTTGATGTCGAATATCTCAAGTTCGCAGTAAATGAAGTCGCGTTTGTATAGCGTATCGGCCACAGGTTGAGATCGCAACAATCTTGCGAGACGGATCTGCTGCTTTGATCCGTCCAGTTCTCTATACCTGTAGAAGTCCGATGTCCGCGGCATTCTCGCTGCGTTGCCGACTGAGTTGTCGGGCTTGTCCACCTCATCAATCAAAGACTGAATGGTATGCTCCGGTACCAAGATAAGCCTAGAGTTGAGCTCAAATTGGATCTAGCGCCTCGTAGAAAATAAGGTAACGAAGCGCAAAGCGATTGAGTGAAGTCGTGTATGAAGGCAAAAGCGAACGAAGGAAGGACTGAGCCGTTTAGCACAGCCCCACCTCAGCCGCAGACTAGTTTCTAGGGCTCTTTTCTCTACTCAACCGACTTACGGGAGAAACGTATATGAGCGCATTGCCCAACGATTGCCTTAGCAATAGAGCTTGTTATCTAAAATGGTATCAATGCTACAAGATACAATGATGGTACAAAAGAAGCGGCACAGCCTTACTCTTCGAAAAAGTCACCCCAGCTAAACCCACCACCATCACCACCGTCTCCAGCATCGCCACCACCCTGTCCACCCTGTCCACCCCAGAAGTCCTGATCTTGACCCCGAGATCCGACGCCAGGATCTTCGCACCAGACATCTTCACCGACTTGGCCTGTGCCTGGCTGTTGATCGGGGTTGGGCTGATACGGATCGGTCGCTTGTGGGGAAGCATCGTCTTCTTGTTGCCTGGCTTCTCGCCCTCTTTGCATAGCTTCGTAGCCCGCCATTGTAGCTGCACCTGTCGCAGCACCCTCTCCAGCTCCCAGTCCGCGCGCTGCAGTGCCCACCTCACCTGCAATACCGCTTTCGCCAGCAGCACCTACGGCCCCAGCACCGGCAGCACCCGCTTCACCAGCTGCAGCACCTCCCGCGGCTTCACCACTGCCACCTACCCATGGCATCCACATTGGCCACATGCCACCAGAACCACTATGTCGACTGAAATAGTCAAAGTCGATGCTAACAGCCGTAGCAAGCATTACGGCGCGTTGATCAAGGGTCATGCCAGGGTAGTCTTCTAGTGATGGTCGGCTCTGCTCACCAGTTTTGGAAACCATGCCTGACGGCTCACTTGCCAGCCCGGCAGCGTCCATTCTCAACGCATAAACACCCGTATCAGTGAATATTTCGCGCGCGAAGCCTCCGAAGTTGCGGTTAACAGAACCCGCTAGCCGCCCGTCTTCAGACATCAAGCTGAAGTCCCAGGACAAAAAGGGTTCGTCAACCCTGGCAAACTGGAGCATGCCCACTTCTCGGGTATCGCCTTCTGCTACTGCCACGGCTTTAGAGTCTGAGATTGGCAGGTCACCAGAGGACAGTTGGGGCGCGTCTGGTCCTGCGGCGGCGTCCTCGAGATTCCTTGCGAGATACAGGTTGTACTTCCTTCGTAATGGTGCCCACTCCTGTTCCGAAGCTCCGATAATCCTCATGTCTTGGAGTGCCAAAGTTGAGACATTTGCGCTCGTTTGGTTGGCTATGCTTTTGACACTCGTGCCTTGCAGACTTGCCGAGCTGGTATAGGTGCTCTCATCGGGCCCTACCGCATCATACACGCGTATTCTCGAGTTGATCCAGCTGAAAGGTCTATGAAACCTTAGTATTTCCTTTTCGTCCCGGTCAAAGACGTGAGTCGTGAAGCTGCGGTGCGTCTTGAACATCTGTCTCGCCATGGCGTTCCCTATGCCATGGTCTTGCTCGGCGAGATATCCAATATGATTACCGTGCGGGTCCATGATAACGTAGCGGTTCGCTTGCTCGAAGCCCATGAGCACGTTCATCATTTCCAGCTGCCGTTGTACTATAAGAGACGAGTTGTCTAGAAGACGCATGGCGGGGTGTGTCTGCTTTAGGACGGCGTTTGGGTCTTCGGGCATGTATACGGGCGTTACGAGGTTGTTCTCGGAGTCGGGCGTAGTCGAGAGGGCGTTGGACACGGCGTCCACTTTCGATGTCTCTTTGGGGGCCCCATCATGTGTGTTTGATGAGGAATCGTTGCTAGGTGGTCTCGAAGAATATGCTGAGGTCGTTGGCGGCGTCGTGTTGCGCGGTAGGCGACTGCGAAGGGCTAGCCGTGGTATGCTTTTCGTGGTGATTGATCGAGCGCTCTGGCGTGGCAGTCGTAAAGACCATCTTGCCGCTGGCAGCATCTTGAAAGCTGTTCGGTATATATCTAGAGCTGCGGTATGTTTGGAGTAAGTCTCTGATCAGGCAGGTAGCATTCGTGTAAGAGGTGCAGATGCCTAATCGCTTTTGCGTGGCGTCACGAAGACGTTCTTTACTTTCTCGGAGGTAGCTGCTCTTATTACGTCACAGCAGGCGTTCCTAAGGCACGCACAAGCCCCAACCGCAGTCTGCGGGTATCGTGAAGCATATACTGTGTGCGACTGTCAATGACCGCTATGCGCATTCAGAAGCCAGTGGTCCGGTGGCTGTCGTGTGTTCGGAACTGGACTGCTGCGCGGTCGGCCAAGACGGCCAATCAAATCCGGCCTTGGCAAACAGTCATCTCCAAACTTTTTGTGCTCTCCTCTCACCTTCAGCACCACCTCCACCATGAAGCTCGCAACGCTCGTCGACGACGCCATTACCTGAAGTCGCAAAGGCCGGGTAAGTACCATTCATTCCCATTCACATGTTTCACTGTCTTATGATGACAACTTTTCACTTATACGATTGCCGGCGCATGCATTCACTTGACTGCGTTTGGCTCTCGATGCTGTTTCCGTTACAATAGACTACAACGGTATCTGATCGACATTACTTGCTACACTTCACATTGCCTCAAAACCCGCGCAGGACTAACGCGAGTACAGTTTCGTCGAACATCGAGCTGGACTGAGGCATGTCTTCGACTCAGCAGCTTGAGCATGCTGTTGCTGCAAGCGAGGAGCGCCCAGAGGGTCTACCTCAGCCGAACCAAGAACCAGCCAACGGTGTTTCGAGGAAACCTCGCCCAAAACGACCCAACTACAACGAAATACATGCGAAGCCTCTGCCACTAGACGTATATGCGCTGCCTGCCTTCATCCCGCACAACCCCATTTCCATCGTGCGACTATTCATCAGCCTAATTTCGCAGTCGCTGTGGTCGCCCAAGTCACACATCGTCATCCACAAAGCATACTACTCTGCAGAGACCCAGTCAATCCACGTCACCGATCCGGCCTCCATCCGAGCTCTTTGGGAACAAGGCTTCTGGGGCAAAGGGTCCCTCAGCCGAAGTGAACCACAATGGTTAGTCGCTGAAAAGCGAAGGCGAGGTGCCCAGGCGTCCAAGACAAGCACCGAGGTTACACAATCAAGGCGGGAAGAGCGCAGACAATTCAAGTTAGAGAGAGCCAAGGCGCAGCGCGAGGCTATTGAGCAACAGCTACGGCAAGAAGGCAAGATCGTATCCGACGCCAACATCAACAAGCTCGTAGGTAGCGACGCCAAGGACATCACCAAGCCAGAAGATGCAACAGCCACTCCGGCGATCAATGAAAACACAGATGGCCCTGCCGCACCGGCCGACGCTGAAGCTGATCTAGAGGTTGACATTGTGGATCTTGAGCATCTTCAGCTCACACCCGAGGAGGCTTTCTTCCTGACATACGTCCTTGGTGCTTTGCAAGTCGTCAACGTGGACACCCAGGCTCCCATGGATCTTGCACAACACTACCCAGCATGGTACCTCTTGCGTGTATACTGCGCCCATGCGTCCAGTTCTGGCGAATCCGATGATCTCGAAAGAGCTTTGACGCATCTTCGTACTGCGTACCGTATGAGCAATGACGCTACTCGAGTGGATCCTGCTATGACGTGTATTCCGCCTATTGAACCTGACAACCCTTTCCTGATGAAATACGTTGTCTTTCACCACTTCCGATCCCTGGGCTGGGTCGTGCGGCCTGGTGTCAAGTTCGCTGTCGACTACTTGCTCTACATTCGCGGTCCTGCGTTCACACATGCCGAGTTTGCGATCATGATCATTCCTTCCTACTCAGCCCCATACTGGACGGAGCAAACGGATGGTCAAGCCCAAGTCAGAGCCGCGGAAAAGGAGCGCAGGGACTGGTGGTGGTTCCATCGCGTGAACCGAGTGCAAACCCAGGTCATGAAGACACTGATGCTGGTCTACGTTGAAGTACCAGCACCGTGGGATGCGGATTATATGAGCTTGGATGGGTTCAAGCTTGACATTGGTAGCATTTTAAAGAAGTACACAGTTCGAGAGTTCGTCTTCAAGAGGTGGAGTCCAAGCAGAAACAGAGATTGAGCTACGGAATACTGGAGTCGATACCGGTAGAGACGAAGCTGTACGAGTTATGAAAGCCGATGAATACATATACCACATACCAACTTTGACCTACTCCCGCTTACGTCACACACGATGCTTACACCAAGGACTCAATATTGACATCTCAGTGATCCACATTGAGGAGTAAGTATATGCGAATCGAGCATTGACTCAGAGCAAGACTGGGCAGCCGGGCAGGGAAATAGGCGATTGGCCCCTTGATTACACGAATATTTCACTCTCGACGCTCGAGCTCGAGCTTCTTAGAGCACGCCATCAAGTACCCCTCTAATGTATATTCATTCAAGACCTTGCCCTGATTTCGATTCGATCGTCCCCTGCATAAACACCCATAACCACACGTGGGAGCTCGACCGTACACACAGCCTTTCGAAGCTCGGGTCGACTTACAGCTCAGTCTTCAATCACAACCACATCGTCGATCACCATGCCGACCTCCCGTCGCGTCGCTGACATCATGATTCCACAAGATGCAGCCCCTCCCGCAGAAGGCCCGAACGAGACCAGTTACTTCTTTAGCCTACTCAATCGCGACGTCCGAAACCTAATCTACGATCATATGACGCTTGGTCAAATTCGTAACAAAGACGCGACCCAATGGGTTGGCTTTAGAGGTACCTGTCGGCAGGCAAAACAAGAAGCTGAAGAGGAGGGCGTGCGTCATCTGTGGCTGTATGTCCAGGACATCTGCAGAAGATTCACCAAGAGTACGGGGTATAGGCTGAGACTACCGCATCAACTGAAGAACATGGAAGACTTTGCTGGACTAACA